TAACACTAGAGGCTGCACGACATTTGTGCACTCGGGGCAGGGCATCCCTCAGCCTGGCCTGCACCCTTTGGCAGTCCAGGAGCCCTTGGGGGATGTCCAACTGACAGCTTAGGCCCGCTTCCTGGCTTCCTGTGGGGAGTGGGCCTAAGCCGGCAGTAGGACATCCTTAGTGCTGCCATGGAGGCGGGAGAGACTCCCACCACCACCACTGCTATCGCCAGCCATGAGCCCAGCTCCCCCTGTGGGAGCACACTGACCACCAGGGGGCAGCTCCTACATTGAGCGTCTGTCCCCTGGTGGTCAGTGTGCATCATAGTGACCGATTGTTCTGCCATTCGGTCAATTTTGAATATTACCCTTTTATTATATAGGACTAGAGGTCCGATGCACGAAATTTGTGCACTGGCGGGGGGGTCCCTCAGCCCAGCTTGCCCCCTCTCGCAGTCCGGGACCCCTCACTCCTTACCACCCACCTGCTCGCTGCTCCTTACTGCTTGGCTCGCTGCTCCTTTATGCTGCGGAGGAGGCGGGAGGGGCTCCTGCCACCGCCTCTGTGCTCGCCAGCTGTGAGCCCAGTTTCTGGCTGAGCAGTGCTCCCCCTGTGGGAGCACACTGACCATCAGGGGGCAGCTCCTGCGTTGAGCGTCTGCCCCCTGGTGGTCAGTGTGCATCATAGCGACTGGTCATTCTGGTCGTTCTGCCGTAGTGGTCACTTAGGATTTTATTATATAGATGGTCGGAGAAGGCTTCTCGGCTAAGATGTTTGAGTAGAGGACTGAATTACACGAGTGAGTAAGCCCTGTTTATATTTAGAGCAAGGGTTTGCAAAGTACTGCCTACAGGCTGAATTTGGAATGCCACTTGCTTTTATAAATAAAATATTATTGGAACACACCCACACTCATTTATTTACATATTATCCATGACTGCTTTTATACCACAATAATAGAGTTACGTAGTTCAGCAGAGAATGTATGGCCTGGAAAGTCTAAACAATTTACTGGCCTTAAAATGTTTGACAACTCCTGGTCTAGGGAAAGAGGTGCCAACCAGGTAGAGGAAACAGCAAATTCAAAGGCCCTGAGGTAGAAGTGTGGTCAGCATGTTTAAACACTGGTCAGTATGCTTGGAGGAAGTGGGGACAACAGAAGGTGGTGGGAGAAGAAGGGAGGTAAGATCATGTGGCCACAAATAAGACTCTGGCTTATTCTCTAAGTAAGATGGGAAGCAAAGTGACATGATTTGGTTTATGCCTTAAAAGGAACTTTCCATCTACTGTTTTTTATAAAAATTTATCTTTATTGTTGAAAGTATTACAGATGTCCCCTTTGTTTTTTTTTCTTCCTATTGACCCCCTCCACCCTGTACCCGCACCTCCCAGGCCTTCACCACCCTATTGTCTATGTCCATGGGCTATGCATATATGCATATAAATTCCTGGGTTAATCTCTCCCCCCGACCCCCACCTTCCCATTTGAAATCCATCAGTCTGTTCCATGCTTCTATGTCTCTGGATCTGTTTTGTTCATCAGTTTATTTTGTTAATTAGATTCCACTATCTTTTTTTTTTTATCTCTCTCCCTTCCCCACTACTCAGCCCTCCAAATCTTTCTCCATAGAAAGAAGGGTTAGCTTAAGAAATGATTAACCATTTAATTTGATGAAGTCTTAGTTATTTCTGATACTTGTACATGAAGGGTCTCCTAGCCCTTGGTTCCATCATTTTTTGAGGACCTGGAGCCTCTTATGAGACTTCAGTCTGCATGAGGACTGACCAAGCTTCTCATCCCATGACCAGCCCTGGGTCATACGAGAAGGCCAGTACGATTGCTTGCTTCATAAAGAGCACCCCAGAGCTTTGCTCTCCTCTTTCAAGATGCCTTTACCTATTTATAAATCATTTGTGGCAAAGTGATAATGTATGTGTAAATGCTGGCTTGTGGTCTAAAAACATCTAATACACACTCCCCTCAGCTTGAAGGAAAGTATGTTACTTATTTTTAAAGTGCATTTGCACCAAAGCAGAAATATTGCATCTTATGTGGGGCATGTGTGACAATGTGAAGGTCATTTTCTCTCCTTCAGAAATGCAAATAAACACTTTCTAAATTGAATTCTGTTTTTTCTCAACCCCAGTATCTTTTTGGGCATTCAATCACATATGATATTTACTCTGTGAAAAGGTTTTTAATGCTGTAAGCACAATTTTGAGTTATTTCTCTTAAGCATTTTCAACAGAAATAGTCTATTATATGCTCTCTTTTACCAATCTGTTTTGTCATCCATGAGGGTGGGTTAGTGGTGGCATGACTTTTTAATTTTTCAGGCTTTTATTTTCCTACACAGTGTGGATATAGTGAAAGGCTATAGGAAACAAACTGTGCTGGAATGTTCAACCCCTAACACGATAGGATCTTTGGGTGAGACATTTAACTCATAGAACGTTGGTTTATCTATTGATCAAAGGGTGGATATTGACTCTGTGATCTGGCCACCTTGGATGACTACTATATTAGAATTGAATGCTGTTGTAGGCATCAAAACATGTTGATATGTGGAAAGCACTATATGAATATGAGGTTGTGGTGTTAGCTTTAGTTGTTCTACTTCGTGATCTATGAAGAGTATGTATTACCTGAATCATTCAACTTTATACTTTAAAAAGAAAAAAAAATGAATTGGTGAAAATAAGAAAAAGTTTATAGCAGAGGTTGAAAGATTTAGAAAGGAATATCTGGCAGATATGTAACTTATATTCACACAACAAATTGGCTTCAGATTTAAATTAGGAAATGCATAAATCAAAAAAAATCCAAATAGATTGTTTTTATTTTCCAAAGCTGTGAATCTTATGATATGGAATTTGTGCTGTATTTTGGTTAGAACCTTTGTGCTTGATATTATGCAAATATCAAGTAAGCAAAATGTAAAATGATATTCATTTACATTGGAAGTTTTGTTTTCAGAATTTGGCAGATATGTTCAGTGGCATAGATGAGCTTAATGCTAACACTTTTATGAGGATTTTTAAAAATCTACAGCACATTTGGTTTGTAGTATCTGTTTGGGGCCAAGATGCTTGAAAATGTCATAAAGAGTCTTAAGCCTTAATTGAAAAATGTTTAAAAGACAAATCCCTTAGTAACCCATTATCTGAAAAATGATGGCAGTAACTGGTTTGGGTGGGAAAACTTACATAACTTTGTCAATAGGCATAGCATATCCTCCTTCACCAACTTTTTCCTAGTGATAGTAATAATATCTGTTGAGCATTTGAGCTTTGGTAGGAATTCCAGAGAGCCAATTAAAACATAGCCAATTTCTTCCAGAAGCTTCCAATCTCGTGAAAACAGGTAGTAAGTTCTCTTCTTCAGAGCTGTAATCTTACTCTTGAACTAGTTTCCTTCAAATACTATTATGAAAGAAATGTCCTACATAAAAACTAGAATAACATTTTAGAGGAATTATCTATTTCACCAGAATATGTGGCACTCAAAATCCTATCTTATTTATATAACCCAGATCAGTACATTCAAGAGTTCTTTCCACTGAACATGGACTAGAATTAGACAAAAGCCAAGAATCCCTCTTGCCATCCAGGATGCCTTTGCCTACTTGAGTGGCTGACATATATGTTTAGAAGTAAATCTTTTTAAAAATTTCTAATGTGGGGACAATGCCCTCACAAAAAATTATATGGTACACACATTGATTAGACATGACCACTTAGCTGAGAATTTTCCCCAAGGTAACTCCTCACCCGCCATATGTAGAATCAGGGCTCTTCTCAGGTCACTTATGCGGTCAGGCCCATTTCGAGAGACATTTTAGTCTCATTTTTACTGGTTGCAGGGGAAGGAAGAAAATCAAGACCAATCAAAGACTTTGCTTTATTTATTTGAAAAGGAATGAGCAATAAAACAGAGATAGTATTTCAGAAATGGTGCAAAAAACCTGGCATTAATCTTGCCAAGGTTAGACACTGTGAAGCTTTTTACCCTGTGGATGACCAATACTATTCATGTTAATAATAATAATTTTATTACTATCTATTAGTTATTGTGAATTTACTATGTGTTAGATGCCAAACTAATAGCTTTACTAGCATTTTTCTCAGTTTATCCTCTTAAAACTCTATGAAACAGAAACTACTCAGAAAACTTAGGTAATTCATCCAAGATCACACTGTTGATAGGTGGCCAAGCTAGTCTTTCTATCACCAAAATTCATGCTTTAGCCATGCTGCAATATTCCTCTCTATGGAAATGAGTTATTATTTGAATCGATTTAAGAGGGCATAAACATTGACTTATGTTTTCACATCTTCCTAAAAATATTATGATGCATATCACTGGTTAAGGAAAATATACTGGGGTCAAGATGAGTTATTTCTGCTTCACTGATGTTCTCAGATTTTTTTTTTTCATTTTAGAACTTCATTCCTGACAAAATCAGGATGGGTAGCTGGACAGGTTGGTCTTTTGTATTTCTTATCACTTTGAAATTTTATAAATCTTCAGTGTTCTTGGAGTATTTCCATATTTCATATGAAGTATCCAGTATTGGATTCTGCTCACAATGACTACTAATGCTTTCATGTCTCTATTTGCCTATTTCTACAATGAGAATAACATTTTTTTCTACATGGGGATACTATAAACTATTATTATATTACTAGAGGCCCAATGCACGAAATTTGTACAAGAGTAGGCCTTCCTTTCCCCAGCTGCCAGCACCAGCTTCCCTTTGGCACCCGGGACCCAGGCTTCCCTCGCAGCCCTGGCTTCCTTTGGAAGGTCATCCGGAAGGACGTCCAGAAGGACGTCTGGTCTAATTAGCATATTATGCTTTTATTATTATAGTTAAGAATAATATAATAGCTATATAAGTGCTTCAAGCTTATGAGGTAGACCAGAAACAAAAATCCAAGTTACCATTGTCATCTAAATTATTCACATTGTAGTGCAAAAAAAAGAAAGACTCTTAGAGAAGTTCTGTGGCACACTTAGCTTTATTGTAATTGAACGAATACTTTTTTTTAAATAGCCCCTTTTACAGCACATGTAAAGTTCAATTTTTTTCATTATATTTTTACAGGTTGTCTTTTATCTGAGTAAGCAAAAATACGTCTTTTTTTTTTTTTCTTACTTAAAACATGTAGCCAGGATTCAAACCACGTAGCTCTGGTACCAAAAAGGCAACAGGTTATGAAAATCACAGTACAATTTCAAAATTATTTAAGTTGGTTAAAGATATCTAAAATGATATTCACTTGGATTGACAGTAGAAATCATGGGTCAGTTGACATTAGGACTAGTAGTTACACCTACAATGAGAGCAGAAATGGGAAGTTCAGGCTAATAAGAGCTACACCATTCAGGATACACCATCTTCATAAATACTGTGGCTGTGAGGTTGCAATGGCTACATCACACTTGAGCACTTCACACATAAATATAGCCAAAGCGAAAAAAAAATATATAGTCTGCTAACTTGGATCTGAAATAAAATGGGCATTTATTTTTAAGAGGGTATACTATCAAACAACTGCACAAGACACAATTTAAACCCCAAAATTACATCTAGGAAAGAAAATAATATTAAAATTCACACCCACACAGACAGTAAAGTAGAAATCTGTTCTTTGTGATTGAGGTTTATTTTTTTGATGAGTAGAAATAATTTATGACCCACAAAAGGATTTCACGGGTGAAACACTAATTACAGACATTGTAAAGAATGTAGCTCAGGAGGCTTGTTTTAAAAATGAGGCAGCGTTTTCCTGAAAAAAGTTTGGTCCTCGACTCACAATAGGCTAGTCACTATGGTCTGATGGTAAGCATTTTCTGTGTGTGTGTGTGTGTGTGTGTGTGTGTGTGTGTGTGTGTGTGTGTGTTTTAAGCTTTTCCAGTACTAAAATCAGTCAAAACCAGACCAAAAGACAAATTGCCCTTGAAAACCTGACCTTGCATATATGTCTAATTGATGTATCATCTGAAAGAACAATGCTAAAGACTATGGAGGGAATTATGCTCACGTGATTCTGCAACAACTTTATTTTGTGCAAACATTTTCCTTCATTACCATATAACTTTATTCACCTAGGTGCCAGGAAACCCACCCCATGATCCTCCCTCCCCCCTCCCCCAATCTTCTCCTCTATCAAAGTGTTATAAAGACAATTTCACTGTGTATTTACAAGCACAACACTTAGGCAAGAAGGTCCCAGGGTCTGAAGGGCACATCTATTTCTTGTGGACATCTTCATGCCGAATAATCTTGTATGTGATCCAGTAAAAGATGTTGAAAATGAGGAAGGCCAGTGGGAAGGCAGCTCGAGATATCGTGTCAATTCTTTTTGCCCGGTCCACAAACTTCTTCTTGATGGTATCTGCATCTTTTGGGGGTTGTGGGATCGGGTTGGCAGGTGTGGTCTTGACAGCTGTTCCATCCTTCACTTGGAGGCAGTGACCCATCCCATAACCGCTGAAATTAAAACGACTTTCACGAGTAGCATCTTCTTCCTGAGAGAAGAACGACAGAGAAAGCACAGTTTGGTTGTCAGTCAAATCAGATGGAAGATGCTTAAAATTCTTTAGAAGTAAAAGGATAAATCACAGTTAACTGATAGCGTGGGAGGCTTTTGGAATGGGTGGTTCTCTTTCAAGTTTAACTCAATTATTCATGGAATAGATACAGTTCATTAACTTTTCAGGCTGAGAAATTAAGGGTAAGAATAATGACTTCGTGGTCATTTTAATTAATTAACAAACAGAGACACCTACATTATATTCAGCACCAACTTTTCCAAAATCAAATGTATTAATCCATAGCTTTGAATAGATTGTTTTAAAGTGAAGTCTCTAAATCACAAACATATACTCAATCTATGAAGAGGATCATTTTTCATTTACTCATTCATTCATTCATTCATTCATTCAAAAAAGCATTTACTTAACTCCTGCAGTGTACCGGGCCCTGAGGTAGTAACTTCTAGTATTGTGGCTTATTCACAGTCTGGTTCCTTCTATTGACATTGATTTTAACGTTAATGGTAGATCTAAGATTATCCTTTTACAAGTATATGTTTCCCCTCTAGCCCTCTAGTTCATTTCAGTTATATGGCAGAGATTAAATATTCGTTATTTGATATTGGATTTTTCTACCATGGGTAATTTTTTTAATATATATTTTTATTGATTTCAGAGAGGAAGGGAGAGGGAGAGAGAGAGAGAAACATCAATGATGAGAAAGAATCATTGATCAGCTGCCTCCTGCAACGCCCCTTACTTGGGATCGAGCCTGCAGCCCAGGCATGTGCCCTTGACTGGAATCAAACCTGGGACCCTTCAGTCTGCAGGCCGGTGCTCTATCCACTGAGCCAAACCAGCCAAGGCTACCATGGCTAATTTTTCTAGTGTTAATTTTTAACATTGATTCTTTGGCTAGTTATTATTTCTAACATATTTAAACACTTGACCTTTTATCTGATGTCAGTGGTGTTTTGTATTGATTATTTCTACATTATTTAGATAAAAGACTGAAAATTGTATTTATTCCTCAGGGTAAAGAGTAAATAGCTTAATAGAGACAAATGTATGGAATTTGGGTGTGAGGTGGATCAAAATAGTGGGGTTGAAAAGGCAGGATTGAAATGACCTACTTAATAAAAATTTAGTTCTGAATATCCATCAATTGAATCTTCTTCTGAAACTAGATTACTGCCTTCCACAACACTATGCAACCCTTCCAAGAAACCAGAGGCACTGCACTATTTACCTTGCCTGAAAATCGGAATGATATATTTTATGGATGCAAAGATTTTAATTAAGTATAGTATTTCAAAATATGGAATAAATAGATAAATTAATCATTGCAGTGTCATTGGAAGACTTATTTAGTACTTAGCAAGAAAGGAAGCATAGAGGCCATTAGGGGAAGGGGACTTGCTTATCACATGGGTTATAGGCCATCTTGGACATTCTATACTGATTGGTAATTAGATATCAACCAGTGTATCGGAGAAGTAGAAGAAATAGTGCCAGTTGGTTTAGTAGAGATCCAGACTAGGAATTTGGGTATTTTGGTTCTAGAACTGGCTATGTTGATCTTAGGCAAGATATTTATTCTTTCAAGGCCTCAGGGATCTCATGCCAAAAATGTTGAGGCTAGACTGGATGTGTGGATCTCAGCTTTGGCTTCCATGGAGCTTTTGTAAGTATATGTCTGCCTGCCTCCCCTCTCAGCAACTTCTAGACCAACTGAATCAGAATCTCTGAGAAGGAGAACTGAGAATCTGTATTTTGAAAAATTGAGTGACTCTAATGCAAAAGGTTGGAAACCAATGGCCTACATGAGCTCTAATGTCCATTTCTAAAATCCTGAATCTATTCTATATTATTGAGTATAAAGTGACTTTTCAAATGGAAACAGTCTTTTAAATTTCCCCTTGTCTGCCTAAATTTATTGTGCTGTTTATTCTTTCCATGTCTGTAGAATCTTGCAAATAGCTGTTCTCACCTCTATAAACATTTTGAAACTCATGATTAAGCATACAATTTACTGCCTGAGTGAGATAAGATTATTTAAAATTATTGGGCCCCTGAAGAAATAGAAAGGGTAGTTAGCTGGTAACCCACTTTTAGCTTATGAAAAAAGGAAACCTAAATACACATGTCCATATTTATTTTCAGACTGACTCATTCATTTAATTTCTATAGTCTTTCCTCACATACTGTGAATGGATAGCTGAAGAGGTTAACTTATTCACTTCACTACCAGAGCTAGAATAGAATGATACCAGGTTAGGTTATAATTCTGTTGTACATTGCCATGCAACCTGTGGGTGCTTAATAAATGTTTGTTGAATAATGAACAAAAGGAAACTTGAAGAGGTTTTCTCTATGCTTGAAAATACTTTCCTCACTCATTCAACAGTATTTTAAATTATGCTTCTTAGTATAGTTAAGCTAGTTAAATCAATTCTTTAAAATTCTCCACCATAAACATAAATCTGTCATAGGTAGAAAATTATCCATTGAATGTTTCATATGCAGGAGATGTGAATGCTAATTTAAGGGTCTTCTTATTTACCATTATGACTCATTCAATGCTTTTTAAATATAGAACCTTAAACTATCCACATAAAAGGGTATGGTTTTGCTTCAGAAAACATAATTGAAACCAATTTGAAACCAATTTCTGTGTTATAATGAATAATTGCCTTTATAGCAGGTTCAGAATAAAATGTATAATAATATGTAAAGATTCCTATATGAGGGCAAAATGGAGATGAGCTTGAGTTATGGATAAACAGAAGCTAAAATAAAGAACAATTTGTAGGCATAGCTTAGTTGAATGTATTCACAGGGAGAGTCAGTTATATCATTTCAGTAAGAATAGAATTTTAGGCATATATTACCCATTTCTTCTAATTAGCCAGGAAACCAATTAGTTAATTATTGCTGCCGACCAGCCATCTTCAATAACTTCGAGCAGAAAACACTTCAAGCTCATTTATTTTGTTATTCACTGACTAAATTCCCATAGAAAATGAATCATCCAGTCCAAGTATCAATATATACAATTTCTATATCCCACTGTGATAAAATCTTCAATTTTTGTCTGCTGCATGAAGCACTTCATGGCACTATGCAATGTTTGAGACTTATTATCTTATTTTATTTATTTTTTGAGTCAATTTTACTTACTGTAAAATTTACTTATTCCTATGTTTGGAATAACTGTTGTCTAGATGTGAAATTAGACCTAAAGCATCACTAGAACTGCATTGTAGTGAATTGTTTAAGAAAATAATCCTATATAATAAAAGGCTAATATGCAAATAGAACGAGAGGTGGAAAAACTGAACAATCAGTTGCTATGATGTGTGCTGACCACCAGGGGGCACGTGCAGAACATGGCAGGCATGAGCTACAGCGGGATGGTGGAGCAGGTGAGCCAGACCAAGGTGGGGCGCTGGTCGATATCATCGGGGCAAGCCTCTGGTGATTACTGAAAATTCTTTGCTCCCGCGAGCTGTGGTCCCGCCCGGCGCTCACAACCCCTGCTGGTGCCAGCCCTGCTTGCATCTGCTGCTGGTGCTGGAGCTGCCCCTCGCACCCACTGCCAGTGCCCGGCGCCAGCCCCGATCACTCAGCACCGTCAGCAGGTGCGAGCAGCGGCTGCTGGCCCCGATCGCCCTGAGGGCTCCTCCACCTCCCCTTGCTCCTGAGGGGG